CTCACTCTGTCCACCCAGCCTGGAGTGCAGGGATGCCTTCATGGCTCACTGCAGTCTTAAACTCCTGGATTCAAGCAATTCTCCCACCTCAGCCTCCTGAGTAGCTGGGACTACAGACACTTGCCATCATACCTGGCTCATTTTTTAGTTTTGTTATTGTTTTTGTAGAGATGAAGAGTCTCTCTATATTGTCCAAACTGATCTCTAACTCCTGGGCTCAAGCAATCCTCCTGCCTTGGCTTCCCAAAGTGCTAAGATTACAGGCAGGAGCCACTGTGCCCAGCTTGTTTTTATTTTGATAGCTAATTATTTTTCTTAATGAATATTAAAAATGCATACATTATTTATTCACCAAACTCATGGATTTTTAGGTATTCTTAGGATGAAGCTGAGCATATTAATCACCTATTGCTGTGTCATAGAGTATACCCCAAATTAGCAGTAAACATTTATCATCTTGCAGTTTTTCTGGGTTAGAAATTCCAGGTAGCATGAGTTGGATGGCTTTGCCCTGGGGTCTCTCATGAGGCTCCAGTCAAGATGCCAGGCAGAGCTGCAGTCATCTGAAGGCTTGATGAGCACTGGATGATGAACTTCCAAGCGGCTCACACACATGTGGCTGTACGTCAATGCCAACTGTTGATGAAGACCTCAGTTTCTCTTCCTGTGGGTCTCTCTGGAGGGCTGCTTGAGCATCCTCACAATATGGCAGCTGCTTCTGCTGGAAACAGTGATTCAACAGAGAGCAGGAGAGAACCTCAATGTGGTTTATGACCTAACCTCGGAAGCCACCCAGGACCAGCACTTTCCAATCTCTATTCAGTGTTGGTGAGGACTACACAAGAGTGTAAATTCTGCCGGGTACAGTGGCTCATGCCTGTAATCTCAACATTTTGGGAGGCCCACGCAGTGAGTTGTGACCCAAGGCTTCCAAGGTGACCCAGACAACATAGCAAGACCTCATCTCTACAAGAAAAACTTTTAAAAATTAGCCAGGCCATGATGGTACATGACTGTCGTCCCAGCTGCTTAGGAGGCTGAGGTGGGAGGATCACTTGAGCCCAGGAGTTTGAGGCTGTGAAGCTATGATCATACCCTTGCACTCTAGCCTGAGCAACAGAGACCCTGCCTGTAAAAATAACAGTGATGACAATAATAATAATAAATAGAAAAACAAAAATAAAATAAAAAACAAAAATAAAAAAATTTAAGAGTGTAAACCCTCGGAGGCGAGAGTCATCCAGTGACATCTGGTGAGCAGCGGCCACAGTGGGCAGATGCGTTATAGTACTCCCTCATGAAGGTCAAGGAACCTGAGCTGCAGAGTCAAAAAAGCGATTGTCTCCCCATCACACCGTTAGTAAGTGGCAGAGCTAGGATTCTGTCTGACTCGAAATCCTAGACTGGTTTTATCAAACAAGACAATGTTCCAGTTGTCTGAGTTCAGTGGCCCACAGGAGGTAACCATAAAAGCTTCACTATCGACGAGCTCTTGCCAGTTAAGTGATTTTGGAAGCGTGTTGGTCATTTCTAGAGGCTTTTTCTTCTCTTTGCTCATCCTCAGCCTTCACAAAGCGAGGCCCCAACAATAAGACCGCTTCCCCATCTAAGGCTGACGTTTCTCTTTTAAAGAGGTGTCAAGGAATGACTCCTGCTCGGATTTACCCGAGATCAGAATGGCTGAAAACCACTTCTCACGGAGCTGAGTGCGGGGAGCCAGAATCACCTACCAGTGTGACCCCGGCCTACGACATCTCGTGGGCAGTGACACCCTCACCTGCCAGTGGGACCTCAGCTGGAGCAAGCGACCCCATTTTGTGAAAGTAAGAGTGGTCTGTGATACTTCCCCTAGGTCCCTGGGTGGCAAATCCCTTCTAGGGATCTTTTTTGGGTGTGTGCAGTGGAGCGCTGTTAATGTAGAATCTGAACTCCCCTACCCCACCAATTCTGAGCATTGCTCACAAATGTCATTTATAGCCGTCCAGTGGGATCACAGACTCAGGTGCAGCTAAACCTGGTGTACATAATGTAAACAGAGTGAGATAGCTGGGTGTGAGACATTAAAGTGGTGTGAACTCCAGTGAAGGGGGAGTGTATGTAGCCTGGTGCAAAAGAACATTTGGCTGGGTGTAGCAGCTCGTGCCTGTAATCCTAGTGCTTTGGGAGGCTGAGGTGGGAGGATCATTTGAGCATAGGTTTGATAGCAGACTGGGGCACTACAGTGAGAGACGCCATCTCTAAAAGTAACAATAAACATAAAAATTAGCTGGGTGTGGTGGGACATGCCTGTAGTCCTAGCTACTCAGGAGGCTGAGACAGGAGGATTGCTGGAGCCCAGGAGTTCGAGCTGTGATTATGCCTCTGCCCTTTAGCCTGGGTGACAGAGCAAAACCCTGTTGAGAGGGGTGGCATGGAAAGAGAGAGAAAGAGGAAGGAAGGAAGGAAGGAAGGAAGGAAGGAAGGAAGGAAGGAAGAGGAAGAAGGAAGAAGGAAGAAGGAAGGAAGGGAGGAAGGAGGGAGGAAGGAAGGAAGGAAGGAGAGAGAAAGAAAGAAAGAAAGAAAGAAAAGAGAAAGGGAGAAGGGAGAAAGGGAGGAAGGGAGGGGAAGGGGAAGGGGGAAGGGAAGGAAGAGAAGGCAGCAGAAGACAAGGAAGGGAGGAGGGGAGGGAGGGAAGGGGAATGGGAGGGAAGGGAGAAAGGGAAGGAAGGAAGGGAGGGAAGGGGGAAGGAGGGAAGGAAGGAAGGAAGGGAAGGGAAGGGGAAGGGAGGAAGGGAAGGAAGGAAGGGAGAGGGAGGGAGGGAGGGAGGGAGGGAGGGAGGGAGGGGGGGGGGGGGGGGGGGGGGGGGGGGGGGGGGGGGGGGAAAAAGAGAGAAGGGAGAGGAGAGGAGAGGAAGGGAGGGAGGGAAAAATCATTATTATTTAACCATTTTAAGAGATTGGAATGAACATGAACTGGTTCCCCATAGAAGTCTTCTTACCTGCCTCATTTTTTGCCAAGAAAAGGCCCAAAGTGGAGCAAATAAATTTGAATTGGGCCCCTTCTGTGTGGGACTGTTTGCATTTCCATGCTGGGTCTCTCACTTATCCTCCATCCAAGACAGAGGAGACCCACCAAATCACCTCTGTTGTTCTCTCTTCTGATGAAATGAGGTCAGAAAAACCCCTTGGCACAATGGTCTCCCCATAGAAGTCGCTGGATGCTGTTAACACCTTTCATTGGTTAAACTCTTGTCTTGACATTGAAAGACATATATAGCCATACCTTAAAATGACATTGGTAACGATGCTTACTTATAGTACCCAAGCAGTAGTAAAATGATAGAATAGAAAGTGAAAAACTTTGATGATGTTACTCTTTGGAAATAATGCCACTGTTAAAAATTTATTCTATATTGCTTCAATTGTGTGTGTGTACATGCACATTATACATACATCACATGTCACACATAGACATCTATATATGTGTCTTATGTCAACCATAGCTCACTACAACCTCAAGGTTTTGGACTCAAGCAATCCTCCCACCACAGCCTCTCAAAATACTGGGGTTACAGACGTGAACAACCACACCCAGCTAATTTAAAACATTTTTTTTGTAGAGATAGGGGTGTTGCTATCTTGCCCAGGCTGGTCTCAAACTCCTGGCCTCAAGCAATCCTCCTGCCTCGGCCTCCCAGAGAGTTGGGATTACAGGCATGAGCCACTGCACCCAGCAGGTCCATTCTTACAAATCCTGCATCTGCTTTTTCTCAGCTCAGAAATGTGGATATCTTTTCATATCATACATGTTGTCCAATTTATTCTCTTTTAATTGGTTTATTGTCTTCCTTTTATCTATATTGATTTTTTAATGTGCAAAGTAATGAATGCTTATTTTACTATATTCCAGCACTGCAGAGAAAGCAGTGAAGGCTCCCCCTCATTTTCTTCTCTTTAACAGTTGCTCAGAATTTCACGGGATGGCTATTCCATGATACTTAACTATTTCCCTGTTAAACTATTTGCAATGTTTCCTTAAAAAAAAAAAACTACAAATAATAATGCAATGTGCAACGTTATACATAGGTCTTTGGACCCTGATGCAAATTATTTGGGCAAATTCATATATATGTACATGTATATGTGTGTGTGTGTGTGTGTGTGTGTGTGTGTGTGTGTGTGTGTGTGTGTTTGAGACAAGGTCTCACTCTGTTGCCCAGGCTGGAGTGCAGTGGTGCCATCATGGCTCACTGCAGCCTTGACCTCCCAGGCTCAAGCGATCCTCTCACCTCAGCCGCCTGAGTAGCTGGAACAACAGGTGTATGGCACCATGCCCCGTTAATTTTTGTGTTTTTTGTAGAGACTGGATCTCGCTGTGTTGCCCAGGCTGGTCTCGAACTCCTGAGCTCAAGCGATTCATCCACCTCTGTCTTCCCTTTCAAGTCCTACGATTACAGGCATGAGCCACCGCGCCCCATCTCTTTGGGCAAATTCTTAAAGGAGGAATTAAATTCAAAGCTATTTTCTCCTGGCCTATTCTCCAGCCACCTTTATCAAGCAAAAGATACATTATCTTCCAAAAAGGAAAAGAACTAAGTTAGGAAACTTTCTTTTTTTTTTTTTTTTTTTTTTTTTTTTGAGACTCACTCTGTCCCCCAGGCTGGAGTGCAGTGGCGTGATCTCCGCTCACTGCAAGCCCCGCCTCCCGGGTTCACGCCATTCTCCTGCCTCAGCCTCCTGAGTAGCTGGGACTACAGGCGCCCGCCACCGCGCCCGCTACCACGACCAGCTAATTTTTTGCGTTTTTAGTAGAGACGGGGTTTCACCGTTTTAACCAGGATGGTCTCGATCTCCTGACCTTGTGATCCGTCCGCCTTGGCCTCCCAAAATGCTGGGATTACAGGGAGGAGCCACCGCACCCGGCCAAGTTAGGAAACTTTCTAAATCATTCTGTAATTCTCAGCAAACCCACGGTCATCCAGAGGTCTGACGTCCACTTGGTCTGGTTTCATCCCGTGTAGTTATGTATTGCACCGACCCTGGAGAGGTGGATCACTCGACCCGCTTAATTTCGGATCCTGTGCTGCTGGTGGGGACCACCATCCAATACACCTGCAACCCTGGTTTTGTGCTTGAAGGGAGTTCTCTTCTGACCTGCTACAGTCGCGAAACAGGGACTCCCATCTGGACGTCTCGCCTGCCCCACTGCGTTTGTGAGTCCTGTTTGTTGAATTGGGTCCCCAGTAGGTTGAAGCAGATTCACTTCCTCTTGTTCACGATGGGAGGCTGGGCTGCTAGGAGAAAGCATTCTACTTTTCGACAGGGGCTTTTGTTATTGTTACTATGACACAACAGTACCTAACACGGATTGGGGGCACACAAACTATAACATTTACGGTAAATTTATCTTGCATTGCTCTAAGTCTTCTACCAAATGTCACTCTTTCTTCCTCAAGTAGCCCTGGGTGCACGGTATCTTTGGTTTCTTTCTTTCCTTCTTTTTATTTTTATTTTTATTTTTTAGACGGAGTCCCACTACGTCACCCAGGCTGGGGTGCAGTGGCGCCATCTCGGCTCACTGCCATCTCCACCTCCCGGTTCAAGCGATTCTTGTGCCTCAGCCTCCGGAGTAGCTAGGATTACAGGCGCATGCCACCATGCCTGGCTAATTTTTATATTTTTAGTAGAGACGGGGTTTCACCATGTTGGCCAGGCTGGTCTTGAACTCTTGACCTCAAATGATCCACTCACCTCGGCCTCCCAAAGTGCTGGGATTACAGGCCTAAGCCACGGCCTTGGCCTCACTGGTTTCATTTTGAGAAGAGGATACTATGCTAGGTGTGGTGGCTAACACCTGTAATCCCAGCACTTTGGGAGGTCAACGCAGGCAAATCACTCGAGCCCAAGAGTTTGAGACCAGTCTAGGCAACATGGCGAAACCCCGTCTCCACCAAAAAAATACAGAAATTAGCCGGGCATGGTAGTGTGTGTCTGGTGTCCCAGCTGCTCAGGAGGCTGAGGTGAGAGGAGTGCTTGAGCCCGAGAGGTCAAGGCTGCAGTGAGCTGTGATTGTGTCACTGCACTCTAGCCTGGGTGCAAAAAGAAGGGGATACTACTTCAAAGCTCTCCAGGGACTCTCATGCACAAACAGCGTTCACAGTCATTGCATAAAGAAAGCATGAAGTTATATGGAAGGAGCAGAGTCTTACACAGTATTTTGGGGGTTAGAAACTGTCAGCTGCACTAATATTTTCAATTAGTGTGTTATGAACAACTCCATTTGGAATACAGCCAGCTCAAACTCCAGAAGCCACACTGAGGTCTTGACAGTGTTGAAGAACCGAGAATTTAACTCTGGGTGGGGCGAAAAAAAGAGAAAAGAAAAAATAGAATTCTTGTAAGTTGATTATAAATTCCCCTACATCTGATGTGAGTAACACTGTGTACAATTTATAGACTTGGCCACCTCCTATAGTGGCTATGTTTTGTGACTTCTCACAACTACCTAAAACAGGCTTCACAAATTTCGATGACCGCACTAACAAGCAGCTCTACAATTCAGACGAGCAAACTGCAGAAAGGCAACCAGAAAGCAAGAAGGTCTTTATCTGTTTTCATTGGATAGGCTGATACTTACTGAGCACTTACTGTATGCCAGGTGTCGTTCTAAGAATGGCGCATGCATTAACTCTTTTATTCCTGGCAGGAAAATAAAAATGGAGATATCTGTCACTTCTCGTTGGAGACAGAGCACAGCCAAATTCAAACTCACGAGAGACCTTCCTCTCTGCTCTATTCATGAGCCAGCCACAGCCAAGTTCCCGTTCGCTAGTTCATAAATTCAGCTTCCTCCGCCCGCAGAAGGGCTTTACTCTACAGACCCCAAAAGAATGAAGAGTTTTAGGCCCACAGTACTTACTTCCCAGATTTCCCTTAACATCTGATCCTTTTCTTGTGAGAGAAAATTTTCCATTTCTGTGTTCTTATTTTCTCTTCTCAAAAAGGCAGGCTTTATTATTCTGTTTCCACAAGTAACAGGGATTCTTGGACCACACAGCCCTGTGCCTCCATCTGTCTTTTTAGTCAGAGTCCCAGAATTTCAGAGCTGAGGGGAAGCTGAGAGATAGAATACAACTGCAGGACGACTTAGAGATAAAATGCAACTGCCCCCACTGTACAGACAAGAACAATAGTTACTTATTGAATGTATGAGACACGCTGCTAAGCACACTACACATATCTGTAAACATGTGCTTTTGTTATGTGTGTATATATAGTGTGTGTACATATGTGTATATATATGCATGTATAATGTGTGTACATATGTGTACATATGTGTATATATATACACAATATGTGTACATAGGTGTATATATGCATATATATGTGTACATAGGTGTATATATGCATATATAATGTGTGTACGTGTGTATATATGCATATACATGGGTGTACATATGTGTGTATATGCATATAAATGTGTGTACATGTGTGTATATGCATATATAATGTGTGTACATATGTGTATATATGTATATATGTGTGTACATATGTATATGTGTATATATGCATATCTGATGTGTATGTGTGTATATGCATATGCATGTGTGTACATGTGTGTATATGCATATGTAATGTGTTGCATGTGTATATGTGCATATATAATGTGTGTACATGCATATATGTGCATATATAATGTGTGTACATGTGTATATATGCATGTACATATATGTGCATGTGTATATGCATATATATGTGTGTGCGTGTGTGTGCATATATGTGTGTGCATGTGTGTATATGTATGCATATATAATGTGTGTACATGTGTACATATATATGCATATACGCATATATTAAGGAAACTGATAATCAAAGGGAAGTACAGATAACAAGAATCATCACTCATTGAATGTGTAAGACACATTTCTAGACACTCTATATATATATATTTGTGAATGTATGCGTGTGCGTGTATTTATACACACATACTAACCCTAGCCCCTTAACCACAACCACACTTCGTCCCCAAGCCCCAGAACCTTGGGCCAAGTCCACATTGGTTGGTTCCTGTTATAGGTTCAATCCATCCCCAAAAAGATATGTCAAAGTCCTAACCCACAGTATCTGTAACTGTGACCTTGATTGGACATAGCATCTTTGACGTCCTAACCCATGGTATCTGTAACTGTGACCTTGACTGGAAATAGGGTCTCCAAAGTCCTAACCCATGGTATCTGTAACTGTGACCTGGATTGGACATAGCATCTTTGACGTCCTAACCCACAGTATTTGTAACTGTGGATTTGATTAGAAATAGAATCTTTGCAGATGTGGTCAAGTTAAACTGAGGTCATACTGGATTAAGATGGGTGTCGATCCAATGACTGGTGTCCTTGTAAGAAGAGGGAAATCTGAACACAGATGGGGACACGGATACAGAGAAGGCCACGGGATGACAGAGGGAGAGACTGGAGTGATGCAGCTGCAAGCCAGGGAGCACGAAGGAAGGATCCCCCCACTGCAGCTTTCAGAGGGAGCATGGCCCTGCTGACACCTTGATTTTGGACTTCCAGCCTCCCAGTACTACAAGCCAATAAGTTTCTGCTGTCCCAAGCCCCTCCGTTTGTGGTCCTTTGTCAAGGGCAACCCTAGGACGTGAGTGCCATTCCCATTTCCTTCTAGTGACTTCAAGAGCGATCAGAAGCAGCCACTTTAGTAACTCCAGCTGCAGAGACCCAGAGATGAAAAGCTTAAAACAAAAGCTTCTATTAAAATACTGAAAGGTGGAGACATCATGTTTTAAAAAAGAAAAAGCACTTCGCCAACGAGACCCAGTCTCTAAAGACCCTCTGAGCTGCGGCAGCTGCTGCTGGATTTCCAAGAGGCAAGCCTTCCTCCCTCCCTTCAGGGACGCTTTTCCCTGAAATCTCAGCATTGGATCCGCAGTGCTGAGTAGAGACGGCTTCCCTGACACCCATGCTAATGAGTTCACGAGCCACGCGGGGTGTCAGGAGACACGCAGTACTCCCAAAAGCCTGAAGAAGAGCCCGGCGTGTGGTGGCAGCGACGTGACAAGCAGGCGAGGCTGATGGGAGATAACACAGGAGGCGAGAGATGGTCAGATCCTGGCAGCGCAGCTCCTGAGTAAGAGGGAGGATGCAGTCTAGGTTCTGAAGGCATTTTTAAGGTTGAGGCTGTCGGACATAAAACAGCTTTGAAACATTTTGTCAACTGAACAAAGGGAACAGCACCGATTTGATGAGCCCCTTCAGTAGGCTGACCTTTTCCCCGGCAGTAGCACTGTTCAGCCTCATAGACATTGCATAGGTGAATGCCTGTCCACTTAAAAGCAGGCAAAGAAGGACTGGAGAGGGTGAGTAGCTTTCCTGAGGTCACACAACAGAAAGGAAGACCAGAATTGTAACTCAAGCCTGACCAAACCCAAAAGCATCTTCCCAAAATCATCACTCTACGGTTCAGCTTTTGGGCAAACCTCTGGTGCTTAAGAGTCGACAAAGATCTTCCACCAAGAAGTTCATGAAGCAGACAGAAAACTACATGAGCCGCCGAGCCCAGCGGTGCGGTGGCTCACGCCTGTAATCCCAACACTTGTGGGAGGCTGAGGCAGGAGGATCACTTGAGGTCAGGAGTTCCAGACCAGCCTGGCCAACATGGTGAAACCCCCGTCTCTACTAAAAATACAAAAATTAGCCAGGCTTGGTGGTGGGCACCTGCCATCTGAGCTACTCAGGAGGCTGAGGCAGGAGAATCTCTTGAGCCTGGGAGGCAGAGGTTGCAGTGAGCAGAGATCACACCACTGTACTCCAGCCTGGGTGGCAGAGGAACACTCTGTCTCAACAAAAAAGAAAAAAGAAAAAAAGGAAAGAAAACTGCATAAGCTCTGGGTGTCTACAGCCTCTTGCCCAGTCACTTGCCCGAAGCCCTGGTTTGGTCCCCTGGAACTCAAAGTCATGTCTTTTTAATCCTAGTCCATTTACCCCAGGGCACTTTTAGAACAGACAGGTCAGGCAGAGCTAAAGGGAAGAGTCTGAGTGTCAAAGTCAGACACACCCTCCAGTTCTGCTGTGTGACCTTGGGCAAGTAGCTTGCCCTCTCTGGGCCTCAGAGCCCCTATCTGTGAAAGAAAATAATACCCTTTACCAAGAAGGATTGTTGGGAGCAGCTCAGTCATTCAACTTACTCAGTTGTTCAG